CAGGCCAGGCCCAGTTCTAGGCCTGGGGATACAGCAGGGGATAAGGCAGAAGGCCCTGTGCTCTTGGAGAGTTCCCTTGGGTGGAAGTCTGAAAGTAAAGACAGTAAGTAGATACATAGTATCCACATAAGTAAGATGCATAATGTGTTGTGTGGAGATGAGAGCTCTGGAGAAAAATAAAAAAAGGTATGGGGGATGTTGCAAATGTACACAGGATGGTTAGGGGATGCCTCACTGAGAAAGTCACATGTACGCAAAGGCCTGAAGGAGGCCAAGGAAGGAATCATGTCTATTTCTACAGGGGAGGAGCATTCGGGGGAGAGGTAATAGCAAATACAAAGACCTGGAGGTAGTGGCAGGCATGGCATATTTCAGGGAAAAGTCTAGAGGCCAGTGAGGCTGGAGCAGAGTGAGTGAGGAGTGTGAGGAAGCATCCAAGAGGGCTTGAGGGGCCAACAGCAATCGGCTTGTACTTTGAGATTGGAGTCATTGGCAGAGGAGTTTCAGCAGAGGACTGACATAACGTGACTTTTTAAAAAACAGACTCACTCTGGTTGCTGTATTGAAGAAAAACGGTAGCTGGAATCACAGAAAATGGCCAGGAGCTCTTGCTGCTGTCCAGGTAAGAGATGGTGAGATTTGGGCCCTGGTGGACATGGTGGACATGGTAAGAAGTGGCTGTGTTTTGGAAATAATGAGAAGATCAAGCTGAAAGATTTGCTCCCGGGTTGGATGTGGGGTGTGAGAGAAGGCAAGTCTGAGTTTTCCAGGTTCAGGTGCTCTGGCTCTGTCTACTTTCTAAAATAACCCCCTATCATTGAGCATTTGGAAGGTTTCTGACTTACTGCTACAGGCAAGCTGGTGGTGAACAAAACACCCTTGTAGATAGACTGATACACCTTCCAGAATGATTTTCCCAGGGCAGATTTAGTACTTCTAATGCAGCATTTTCTAACAACTGACTGCTCCCCCTGTACAGGTATTTACCTGGAAGCAGTATGCAGTAGTGGTTAGAGCATGACTTTTGGTGCCAGAGGCTCTGGGCGAATCCCAGTTCTGCTGTCACTATTTGGGAATGTTAATGAACTTTTCTGTGCCTCAGTTTCTTCATCTATAAATTAGAGGTAATAATAGTAATGTAGGTAGAAGTAACTGAGTTAATGTATGTAAAGCCTAATACATAGTAAGCACTATGTAAGTGTCAGTTATTTCATTATTTTTCTTTAAACTGACTTCACATTTTTAAAAAAACCTCAAATACAAGCGTTTTAAAAGGAACATTGATATTAATACCTTAAGTGGAAAACCAGTGTCATTTGTTCAGAAGTACAGGAAAATGTAAAGTAAAATATATGTAATGGAAACAAAATAGTGCTATTGAATTCTTGTTAGATACTGTTTCAGAGACAAACAGGCTAGGCGGTGTCAGAGAGGTCTTCAAGCCCTGTTAGTACTAAACTCCGAACTAAACTCTTCTCTCTCTTTTTAAAAAAATTCTATTTTAAAGACGTGGGGTACACGACAGGATTAGGCAGGTACATAAGTGGTCCACGTGCCAGTGAAGTTTGGGCCTCCTACTGGTCCTCACTTCCCCTGGTTTAGGATCAGGTACCCTTAGTGATGTTATGTGCAGCCCCACCCCCCGCAGTGGGCTCTTCTCAACTGAAATGGAAGGACTCAAAGAAAAATGAAAAAAGAACTTAAATGCCCTGTCCACTCTCAGCTAACGTGCGACCCACCACCCTCCAGCAAACCCTGTTCTGGGAACTTCACAACACAAGGCTTTAGATGACGGTGAACTCACTGATCCCTCAAAGGATGCAGCGGTTCACACTGGCATCGACAGCTTCCCTAGCTTTTCGTGTCCCAGGATCCTGCGGCGCGCGCGGCGCGTGTGCGTGTGCGTGAGTGTGTGTGTGTGTGTGT